GTCCTGTGCTTGCTGCTGTTTAGGGGCGCGGCGCCTGCAAACTAACAAGCAGATTGTTTGCAGCTTGGAAAAGCGTGTTGTTTCCACAGAGCCCCAATTCCTGAGGCCTCCCAAAGGCACTCGTAGGCCCAGAAAGCCAAACGGGGCCGAGGTTTCCCTCAGGTTGTGCTTCTCTTAAACCCCTCCAGGGAGGCTGTGGAACTGCATCCGTTAAATTCAATTAATAAATAGTTGGGTTTTTTTCCTTTAGGTTTTATCGAGCGTGTCATTAGCGCCCTTCGCTTGCTTAGAAACCGAGTGGTTTTATTTGCGTGGCTTGTTACGTTTTTCTAGGGAAACGCAGAATATGAATAAATAATCCAACTTGGGTCAATACTTGTCCCTTCATGATTAGAAGAATGTCTTCAAGAAGCCAAAAGCATAATATATTCGATAACAGTGACTCTCTGTTACAATGTCTATAGTTTCAAATAAAAATCTGCTGGACATATGGGTTTGTGACAGCAAAACCTTGTCAAATAGCTTTTGCATGAAGCTTTTGTTAACGCAGCTTACAATGCTACAGTCGAGGTCAGCAACCAAAGTTAATTTTGAGATTCTAGACTCAGGGACTGTCTTATCTCTGATGTCTCTACTGCTGCAGGACTTCACTAGGTCTCCTGAGTGTTACTACCACAATAAGCTCAGTGGGGTTTAGAAATAAATAAAAAATAGCTTTTTGTGTTTTGGAGCTTCCAGAATGATACATTTTACGATAGCAGGGACAGCTCGTGTAAGGAAAGCAAGTTGTACCACCAGTGAATTGTCCCAAACAAAGGCATAAGGCAAATTGTTATAAAAGCATTAAAAAAAAGGTTATTTATACGTGCAAGGTTCAGTAGTATTGAATAAGACAGTGTAACATAAAACTCAACCGTTCTGGTTTTTTGTTTTTCTTATAGTATGGAAGCGGTTTCTGCTAACAGAAGAAGATATAAAGTTACAAGAATTTCTACAGATGAAAGTGGCAATTAGAAATGAAGTTCATGGCAATAAAGGTACTAGCATTTGTTTTATAATTACCGCTCTCAATTTTAGCATAAGTCAAAAGAAAACAACCGTAATAATATGTCACCAATTGACCCCATTTAAAGAAACAACTTGTGTCTCACTCTTGCAAAATTTTTTGTACCTAAGATTACTGGGAAATCTCAGGCTTTGTAGACTGAAACAATATTAGTTATGCTGTGCTGAGTATATTGTTTGTGGAACGTGTTTACATAAGGCCTGAAACATTTGTGTCCTCTCTTTTCCAGCTTTGTCAGATAGCCTAATGGAAAATACTGTTTCAGTCTACAGCTCTTGCTTCAAATGTATTGTCAACAGAGAAAGTTAACCGGAAGCCAAAATAGTTACTTAACTAACCAGGAGAGGCCTTTGCCAGTAATTCTCTTTTAATCTGCTCTGTAACTTTAGTTAGTGTATTCCTTTAGATGTTTTTTCTTTTGCCTGTTGTAAATTCTGAATTGTACAGCCAATTCCAGATTATGTATGCTACTCAGAATATGAAAAACAAATTCAGGTTTTCCAAAGTAATGAAGGCGCCAGGTTGGTGGATTTTTTCTGATGGGGATTTTGTCGCACTGTTTAAAATGCATATAAATTCCTTTCTTTAAGCAACATAAATATAAGCATAAATCTACCCTTATTATTTAAGAAAGATTAGGCAAAACTCCCATTTCCTGCACCTGTTGAATCATACGTGGGTGTTCTAGGGATACAAATTGACAACTGTTCCAAGGTTGTAGTTAATTTTAAGGCAAGGAAAAGACAAATAATCAAATGTAGTTTTATATAAACCAGTCTTCTGGGACAGAGAGGGAGGTAAAGTCAATCTGACAGTTTTTCTATGTTAAGCAGAATTTAAATCATGCAGTTGCAAGTCAATATATTTGCTGTGATGATGACATACTCATATTGGAGTTTACTCATCTTGTACTTGAGATACATTGAATTTATTGCTGTGGGTCAATCAGTCTTGCTAAAACAGGTTTGTCGAATATTTGGCTTCACATGTCATAGTTGACCTTTTTGTTTTGAACAAATAGTAGCCTCTGAAAACTAATGAAAACAATGTGCTGAGCACATGTTTATGTTTATGTGTGCATGGCTTCTATACTCAGTGTTTAGTGTGATACTTCAAAGCTGAAAAGAAGTAATTAGGACTAGTAATGAACTTGGTTTAGAAATGGATAAAGCACCTTATTACACATCACAACATTATGCATACTTGTATGTATACATTCTTCTGACTTCACAGGATTCAGCTCTGCATCTCAGCCTCAGGTGAGGACTTTTATTTGCGTGTAGCAACAAATATGCATCCAGTAACTTAATATGTTTTCTCTGGGATGCCTACTTTGCACCTCTTGTGTAGGTTACTAGCTTGGTAACAGCAGGATCCGTCTACTGCAACAAAAATGTTCACTTCCCTGCCTAGGATGGGCAAGCACCATGAGAGGAATGGGGCTGCCAGGTGGTACATGTGATTTTAATACTGTGTATGTCTGAGTCAGAGGTTTGAAATTACCAGCTGAAGGACTCGTCTTTGTGCTTACTTTGCCATAGGAAAATGTTCTGGATAGAGAGCTCTCTTTTTAGGGAGGACGAGAAGCAAGTTTATGGCTATGTATGGAAATACATAGATTATGTATGAGACTTTTCATCAATTCTGAAGGAATTTAAGTCTTCTGTACAAATAGTGTTGAGCAGAAATTCTCACGGTCATTTAAATGCTGAGTGGAATTGAGTTTGTTTGCTTGCTTGCTTTTTAGAAAAAGAACTTAAGAGTTAAAATGTCACAGAACTTTCTTCTTCGTTAAAACTTTAGCAGTATCTGATATATTCATACACAATGAAATTAAGTTCACACATCTTGGTTTTTCAAGTCCGACATGACTTCATGGTGACACCTTGGTATGCTTGTCTGTGGGAAGCTTTGTGCATTTTTCTTGGTCATAAAACAAGCTTTCTGCTTCACTGAGTCTCCATGTTTCGGGTATCAAGTATGCAACACAAGTAATGGAATTGTCTATAGACTGCTGCTGTAATCTTTTTTTTTATTTTCAGATCCATATTTCAAAAATATTCAAGAAAAATTGAAGAAAAATGGAATAATTCTCAGAAATGAATTAAAAAATGTACTGCATTTATGTCAGACTTCTTCTGATGTGGAACTAGCCAGAAAACTTATTTACAGGTATTTTTAACAATCCAGGTAATACCCTTTTTTGGTTTTATGCTTTTATTCAATCGTCTCAGGCTATATCTGCACTTGGGGGCTTGCCCTAATTCACTTTATGTTCAGCCTTAATTTTAAATTTAAATCTCAGCCTTTAACTTTATGCCCTTAAATGTAGGCTGTATTTTCATTTACTTTGGATCTTGAACCCTTCAGAGACTCTCAGGTCAAAGGAGAGTCAAGCTTTGGGAGTGTGGTGTCTTACTGTATGCAGAATGAATGGTTGAACCACACAGAAGTATCTTCCCCCAACTGACAGGTAGTGATATGTTCAGGGTTTTTTTCCAGACAGGGCATGCCTGGCTGTAAACTGGCCTGCAACCAGCAGTGGCAGGTCGATGGCAAGAGGTTTTGTGAATGAAAACTTTGCCAGCAATTACAGTATAGGAGCTATAAAGAAAACAAGTGAAATGCTTTCTCTTGTTGTTGAGGTACTGCTGCTAAAATAGACTGCTGCAACTTCCTGTGCTATTGTTCTGTGAATAGAAGGTAAAGTCTCTGAGAATTTTGGAGGCAGAGACCTATACTATTATTAATCCAATGTGGGTTACTTTGCTGGAAATAGAAGAGATTCTTTATTACTAGGTAATTTATTAGTTTGATCAAAACAGTATTTTTTCTTTAAAATTAATCTCCTGTAATCTAAGTTTTATTGGCTGGTGCAGATAGAGCAGTGTGCATCTGTCATTGCACATGCAGGTCTTGTTGTCTATTTAAAGCTCTTTTCCCTTGGCGAATTCCATGCCCTGTGTGATTAAATTTTTCAATCTTTCTAATAGGTACCATGAACAGAATGGAATCACAGCCTTACATAATTTTAAATTTGGGCCCCTATTTATGAGGCTATGTTATGAGCTAGACCTTGAAAGACCTGCAGTAGAACTTATCAAAGATCAGGTAATTCCCCTATATATTTTGAAAATACTGTTGTTGTTATGATTAGTCATATATGAGTAATGGTGTGCCTTGCATGAGCTCATAGACTTGAAGATATGTGTTGCAGTAGCAGAGTGTCTATAACATTAATGTAAGAATGCAGATTGCATGGGTTTTATTTTAAAAATAGCAAAAGAGTAATTAAAAGCTAGTTCAACTGGCAGCTTTATTTCTTTGTTATTGCATCATTTGAATAAAAATTGAACAAAAAATATTGATGAAAAGATAAATCCTCAAAAGAACACAGCTGACATATGTTTTGCAGCATCTTCTGTTACATTAAATCATTCATGGAAATGAACACTTGTGAGTTTTTCTCTGGGAGTCCCCTGACATCTCTTGGGTTATTTGCACCAACAGATCTTCTGTACTTCAAGTTCCCTCTGAACTCTGAGGTGGTATGATATCCCTCAGCTCAGGAACTTGGCCATTTTGGTGCTGAAGAAAGTTAAGGACTTGGTTTTGAACATCTCTAAATTGTTATGTGTGCTGTTATCACAAGATATTAATTGTGCCCAGTGTGTGAAACAATTTGTCTTCAAAAACCTCTGGACACCAGTGAAAAGGCATCTCTCTGATGTTAAATCATTAAGGCATGAGATGTGCTCAGCCAGAAATGGGAGAATCTTGCTACTATTCTTAAATTAGGCATGCGTATATGTATTTTTTGTTTTGGTTTTGGATTTTTTTATCTGAGATCTGTGTCATTAAGACTGGTCCTGCTGTACTTGCAGGACATAGTAGCTGATGGATAGTAAAGTACAGTAGCACTTCTTCGGACTCTGCTGCAGGTATTGGACTTAATACCTCTGGCATTTTATTTAGCTATTCACAGTGTGGTTGAAGTGGAATGTAAAATGTAGTTCTTCTTTCTTCTGCTACTCTTAGTGTCATCACTCAAGCTCTTGTGCTGATCTGTTAATTACTTGATACTGTGATGAACAAAAAATTCTTTCAATTTCATGGTGGTGGTACTTCACCCCAAAGATGTTGTTCATCAGCTGCAAGCTGTCAGTGACTTCTGTTTGCATTGACTTAGGGGTCACAATCTGTCATTAAAAAAGGCTCTCTGGGAAATGTCTGTGAGCTTTTGGCCCTACAGAGTCACCGGTATTTTAGAGGCTGCTTGACAGAGGGATGGACAGTCAGGGAACCCAGAGAGTTAAATGCTGAGTTTGTGAAGCTAGGACTAATTTCAGTAGACCTGCTAAAATCCTGTGCACAGTAAGACTGCTCACTCTCCTGACTTTCTTTATGCTTGCTTTATTTCTTCTCCAGAATCTGCATGGTTTTTTCTCAGACAGTACATCGTTCCATATTTTGATGACTATGTTGTTTAAAAAGGGCCATTTTGAAAGTAAGTACTGTGTTTGCTAAGGCAAATTAATTTTGAGTAGGATGCTTCTCAGTTTAAGTGCTGTGTCTGCACATAAATATATTTAATGAATACTGCTGATTGGTTATGGGTTTTGATGGCCAAACATCACGTAAATAAGTGTAGATGTGAATGAATTGCACTGTAGTGTGTAATAAAAATGGAAGGCTCTATGTTTTTTCATATTTCCAATGGTATTCTTGCCATTCAAGTTCCACAGAATTGTTATTATCCAGGAGAGTTGGTTTTATAAACCCTTTTTCAGGTGGTTCTTGAATGTCTTCAGTGAGGAAGAAACCATGACTGCTCTGGGCAATCTGTTCCAGTGCTCAGTCACCCACACAGGAAAGAAGTTCTTCCTTATACTCAGGTGCATCAGTTTCTGCCCATTGCCTCTTGTTTTATTGGTTTGCACCATTGACAAGAACCTGGCTCCATCTTCTTGGCACCCCTATTTAGATACTTACAGAATCATAGAATGTTAAGGAGTTGAAATGGACCTCATCTAGTCCCAAACCTGTGGGTCCATCTTATCAGTGAAGGCTGATGCAAAGAAGGGATTCAATAACTGCTTTCTCTGCATCCTCTGTTACCAGGGTCCCCCTCTCCATTTGTGTATAGGTCCACATTATCCTTTGGTTTCCTTTTGTATTGCTGTATTTGAAAAAGCCCCTTTTGTTATCCTTGGCCAGTTTTAATTCTAGGTGGGTCTTGGCCTTTCTAGTCTCATTTCTACTTACTCTGACCACTTCGATATATTCATTCCAAGTGGCCTAAGATCACTTCCATCTCCTGTGTATTTCTTGCTTATGCTTGAGTAATGTCAGGAGTTCTTTGTTCATCCAAGGAAGTTTCTTGCCCCCTTTGCCTGATTTCTTTCTCATTGGGATGCATAGTTCTTGAGCCTGGAGGAAGTGATCCTTCAATATCAACCAACTCTTTTGGACCCATCTTCCCTGCAGGGCCTGTTCCCATGGAATTCTTCCCAGAAGATCCCTAAAGAGGCTAAAGTTAGTTGTCCTGAAGTCCATGGTTATAATCTTGGTTGCTGCCCTGCTACTTCTTAGTTCAATGCTGAACTCTGCAGTCTGTGGTCACTGCAGCCAAGGCTGTCCCAAACTATCACATCATCAACATGGCCTTCTTTGTTGGTTAGTATATGATGGAGCAGCACACCATTCCTCAGATTTTTCTCTTGCTTTGTCTTACTAGTGTGCCCACACAGAGTGGCTGCTGCAGTGTTGAAGTCTAATGCTTCAAATCAGTTTGGCTGTTTATGAGAATAAGGAAGAATACTCTGCTCTAACTTAAAGGACTTTCCATGTGGAAATCTTAAATTGAGTATGGAGGACTGTTCAGGCAAATCCCTTTATCTGAAATCTGTTGAACATGCAGTGCTTAGTCTCTTGACGTTTGGCAAGTTTAAGTCCAGTAGTTGACTTAAGTTAGACTAGGACATCAATGCAGCATTGTGCTGGAGCATGTGAGTTATTGAGGAGATGTAGCTTGCTGGAAGTGGTGGAAGCTTTCTGGTCATTTAGGAAGAACGACAGTGGCTCTGTCAGGTGTCTAGAATTTAGTTTTAAATTCATATAGAAATAATAGA